ATTATATTATATTATATTATATTTGTATGTATATATATATGTGATATGATATGTATATACATATATATATATATTCAGTATGGTGGTGTACTTATAACTGCGGTTGAAGGTTAGTCATAACCTCACCTAAATGGGATTCCTGAGCTTCTTGCCTGTTGATCTGCGTGTTGCCTGTTTTGGTGGGAACCCTGAACCCAAACCCTAAGCCGTGGCTCTGCCCTAAACCCTAAACCCTGAACCCTACACCCTAAACACTAAGCCCATGAGGGTTCGTCATTCCCGTGACTGAAGCATCTCGAACTTAGACCCTTGGAGGCCTAGGCTTGCAAGGCCCCTTGCAGATCGCTTTAGGGCTTAGGGTTGAAGGTTTGGGGTTTAGGTTTCGGGTTTTTAGGATTTAGGGTTAGATTTTAGGGTTTAGGGTTTAGGGTTAGATTTAGGGAAGCTGTAGGGTTTAAGTTGAGGGTCTGAGGGTTCAGATAAAAATGGTTCTTCCAGAGCCTTGGCTTCACAAAGCACCGGCTTCGGGAAGAATGTATCGCGACTGACCAGTATGTGCCAGCGCGTGGAACCGTTGTTGGTTGCAAGGTGTTGCATGGGTCTCTGGGTCTTCGACAGAGTCCTGACATGCTGAAAATCCCTAAACCCTAAACCCCTAAACCCCTAAACCCTTAACCGTATCATCCTGTGGAGCCCGCTTGCATCGGGCTCAGGGCTGAAAACTTCGGCGGGAAGGTTTGCGAAGGTCGGCTCCAGGGTGAGAGCCTTTCTCAAGATTCGCGTCCTTTGCCTCTAGACTCTTTAGACCGAAAATGCTCAGTCCTTGTGTACCACGGCCCCTCAAAAATTTTAAAAGGGCTCGGAATATCTGATTTTCTTGACGGCAAGCTCTTGTCATCAAAGCCCTTCTCTACAACAGATCCTGGGCCGAACCCTCAAGTGGAAGCAAGAGTCGTCAGCTTCATGTTCATGGCAAAAGTGTGCCGTTGCTGTCGCGAGGCATTTAAAATCCTGCAAGGATCCAGATGCCTGTCCGCAATCGGGCTGTTCCTTAGATAGGGTTTCGATTATGATGAAGACTTGCACCCCAAAACAGTAATCACATGATTAAGGCCCTTAGGAGGAAGTCGAGAGCCAATTCATCAGCGACGAGAGCAGGTTCCATCTCAGGAAATCACAGATGTGCTGCAGAAACTTGTAGTAATATACGTGTCGTTGTCGTGGTCCTTATGGAAGCTATGACAAGACCATACTATACCGTACCATACCCCAGAACCCTAATCTATGGGGGCCCGGTAGAACCCCGTAAGCCGCTATCAAGCCACAAAGGACATTCTGAAATCCTATTCAGCTCTTTCCTTCAAGCCCCTACAGTACGGAAGCTTCTGGTTCTGTGGCATCAGCCGAAGTCTCTTACATCGTAGCGGCGACGGAGCTGAACACCTGCCCCGGTGAATGTGATCAAGGTAACTGTACAACCATCACCAAACGACCTGTGCGATGCCGTCCTCTATAGTTACAGCGAGCTACATAAGGTGTCTTATAAGGTGCATTCCTGAATATAGGGATGTGCGTAGACATCCTTAGATAAAGTACGGCATCTTGTAGTGTCTGTCGTTTATGAGAGTTTGAACTGCATGGGGATCATGTTTGAATCTCGGCAAGCTATAAAGTGATCATACGACGGCCACTCTTAAACCTCAACCCCCTCGACATCCTAACCCTAGTCTCTAAACCCTGAACCCTAAAGCCCGAAATCCCAACCGGAACCTACAGGGCTGCTGTCTGCTGGCTCCTAGACTCTGGCGATAGTTGATTTGACAGTTGCCCCAACAGGCCACTACCAGTTTACTTTTGAGTTTGAGTTCCGTGTCATTCGGTCTAATTCTGTAGCGTGTCAAGCATAGTTGGATGGACGATGGACACGACAGCTTTCCGGCATAGGATCCCAAACAGAGCTTTCGTATGGAGTCCTTTATGTCAAACATTGACAACACCTCATCCGAGGCATGCAGTGGTCACCACCTCAGTTGATCTTACTTAGGCATTAGGCTGCCTCACTTTCGGGTTTCTGCCGGATGTTCCACGGACGCTATGGGACAATGCGTCAGACCGTGGGTGAAGGTGGCGACATGGAAACCAAGGTGGATGTATACATAGTAGTAATCTGCTTGTTGTCCAAATACCTGTGTGTGTATGCGTGTAGATACACATCACATACGTACATACGTGCATACATACATACACACATACATATGTACTGAGACAGACCTACAGACGGACAGACGGACAGGCAGACAGACGTACATACATACACACACAATTACATACACAAATACATACACAGATAAATACTTTCATACCGACATACATAAGTACATACATACCTACCTATCTACGTACGTATGTACGTCCGTACGTACATGTCTATATACATACATACATGCATACATACATACATACATACATACATATAATCTGTGTGTATGTATACATATGTGTGTGTGCGTCTAATCGTTTTTTGTTTAGTTTATGCATGTAAACACATTGAGACTGCTGTCATGTGGTGCGGGATCAGAAGGCCCAGGCGGCTTCACACTTGCAGATCTAAGCAGGAGCAGTTCCTAGCAGCAGGAGTTGTGGTTGCTGTCGTAGAGGATGACGACATAGTCGCGGTCAAAGCCTCAAATTCTGAAACCCAGGAAAGCAGACATTTGCCCAAATCAAGCCTCAATCCCAACTTCAGGCGTAGCGAACCCTAGACTGGGTTCTTGTTAAAGGATCTAGTTTAAGTTACCATAATAAGGAA